GGATCAAATACTCCTTTTTTTTTGTTTTCATTGGATGCCAAACTGTACTTAGTATCTGGCTTTAAGTAGTAAGTTTCACAGGTGGAACTTGGAGGGTAAATGGTGCCTAGTTCATGGGTCAATTTCCCAAACACATTTTTTGAGCGGCGTAGCTGAAAATCATATGTTTTTTATGACATAGAACTTTGATTTTTTTTTACACGAAAATATACAGAGGTTCCATTTTGAGGACAACATTATTAATGAGTATTTTCTTTTACAAATTCGACAAAAAATAATTGAACTAAGCGTTTCTAATTTTGGTGCAGTGTCCACATCCTTAATTTCTTACAATATGTATTTTTTTAGCTGAAGATCAAAACAGAACTTAGGGAAAAAGTATATTTTTGGATTATACAATCTATCTATTATCTAAGATTACCAAATTAAGCAAGTTTCCCAAATAACTGTGATTAAGTCACGTCCTTAAGTTTTGTCCGCGAAAAATTTATGATTTTGGTGTCAATAATGAAATAGCTCGTCAGTTTCTTTAAAGATCAAACAGGATTTAAACACTCCCATCATTCGTTAGGTTTAGTACCGCCCCCGCGAGCAGTGACGGCAGACGGGTGCAAGACCTCTGCGTCTTCCCGCCAAAAACGTAAATGTGTTGTTTTTTTTTAAACGGACAACAATTCTGCAATTTTGGTGTCTTTTTGTATAAGATTTCTAAGCTATTCTTTTTAGTTGAATTCCTCGTATAATGTAAAGGAACTGTTTTCATACCATGTGTTAAAATGTTATTGTTATATTTAAAACAGATTTCATATAATTTAGCTTTTTCAACGAGAATCTAATTTTGGTGAGTCAATTTTGGTGTTTTTGGTGGTGCACCAAAGCATTTTTAACCGACTTAACTCCGTCAATTGTGAACCGATTTTCAAAATTCTTTTTTTGTTCTATAGGGTACACTTATGTGGTGGTCCCATTGTCACCAAGTCAGGATCTGATGATGGGATCCTAGGGAAATCGAGAGTAAACCTCAAATTTTGTAGGAATGCAATACGTTTTCTAAAGTTATTCAAGTAGTCATCATCTAATGTTGATGAGGTGATGATGGAAGGTAAAACTCCTTAACGCTTAGGAGTTGGAGGATAATTCTTTAAATATTTTAGGTAGGTATGTACATACAGTTGTATTATTTCAGGTATTTAAGATGAGCTGATGATGAAAGGTCAAACAACATAAGTTAGGAGTTAGATGATACTCAATACTCATTTGTTGATACATACATTGACACATGATACATTGATACTTTTTAGTTGCCGATATTTAAAGTAGGGAGCCTGTATTTTGCTAGGAAGATTATTTACACTTGGATTGTGATTAAGACTATAATTTTCCATTACAAAATGGAAAATTATAGTCTTAATCACATTAAACATAGGTACTGTCCCTCTTCAGTGACAATAACAAGGACTAATCAACTAAAAAGCATGAAAAAAAATAATTTTAACAAAAAAATTAAAACCGACGCCAACAATCACTTAAAAGTAGAAAATAAGTACGTCGTTATTTATTTATTAGGACAATATACCATGATTAATATTTTTGGAGTCGGTGCTGGTAAATTTAAAACCATTTCTTGAGCTTGGCACTAAGATATGACCGACTGACAGCATATTTTCTAATTATGGTGCTTTAATATAAATTTTGGTGTTCTCTTAATTTTGGTGTAAGGAAAATCTAAAAAACTACTGGACAAAATTTAATGTCTTAATCATTTTAGGAACAGTATAAGTTTCCAATAAATTTGATCTATAATTAAAGAATAAAAATACACAAATAACAATTTCCACCAAAATTAGGCAAAAATATGCACTTGTTGAAATTCACCCTCATAGTGGTTTTAATGAGTTGCTTAGTTGGGATTAATCATGTAGTCCAGAGCCCCGATTACGGTAACTTTTAACGTCTACAATCCAGACACGCTTCATCGATTCTGCGATACGATTGGTCAAAACAGCTGACGTACGCTGTTGAACGACCAATCGTATCGCAGAATCGAGAAGCGTGTCTGGATTGGAAACGTTAAAAGTTACCGTAATCGGGACTCTGGCCGCTACCAACCGGGTAACATGAAAAGCATTGGGGGAGGCCTATGTTCAGCAGTGGATGTCCTATGGCTGAGATGGTGATGATGATGATGATGATGATGATGATGTAGACCAGGGTATATTTTACATAGAGTTAGGTCTAATCACGTTAGAGTTTTAATTACAAGTATTAAAATGGTTCTATAAAAGAACCAAAGTGACCAACATAGCTCTCAGAATTGCTAAAATCAAGTGGCAGTGGGCGGGGCACATAGCTCGTAGAGACGATGGCCGCTGGGGCAGAAAAGTTCTCGAGTGGCGACCGGAAGATATAGCGTCAAAGCGTGGGCGGGCAGGCCTCCCACTAGGTGGACCGACGATCAAGTGAAGGTCGTGGGAGGTGCCTGGATGCGAGCGGCGCAGGACCGGTCGTTATGGAAATTCTTGGGGGAGGCCTTGTCCAATTTTTTCTTATCTCAAGTTTTTCTTTCAAGAGAACTTTCAGGTTTTAAATTAGTTTGAGTTAGAACAATATGTTAACAAATATCAATACAATTTTTCAAATCAAAATAAAATAGCACGTGAAATGGCCTATAGATTTAAAACAAAATAAAATAACATAGTGCCTTTGATCTTATTTGAATTCTAAAGATGTTATTTACGAGGGGCGGCTGAAAAGTTTTGAGCCTAAGGTATTAAAAATGTCGATAGAAAAGTATAAAAAATATATTTTTCTATTTAATCTCCCTCTACTACAGCGCACTGCTTACATTTGTGTAAAAGAGCTTTTAACCCACTGAAAAAAAATTCGCAAACTTTGCCTTCGAAATGATCCTCTAACGACGCCTTCATTTCTTTGTCACTCAAAAATCTTCGTTTCTGGAGGTCCTTTTTCCAAATTGAGAATTAGAAAAAAAAGCTAAGGATTTGGACTAAACTGTGTGGTAGGTGATTAATTTCTTGAAATCTAGTTTTACCCGAGGCAAGCCTTGCAACATGCGCGGTGTGCACGGGCGAATTGTCTGGCAATAACAGATTTCATTTCGCCAGTTTACCTCTTATTATTTCGACAACCACTTGACGCACTCTTATTAACAGTACAGTAAAATAATCCCCGTTTATTGTAGTTTTTTTTAAGTAGGTAGTCAATGAATAAAATTCCTCCACAATCCCAAAAATAGTGGCTATGAGCTTGGGTGTCGATCGCTCCACTTTGAATTTCCGCGGCGGCGTTTTCCCTTTTCAATCCATTGCATTGACTCTTGTTTTGACTCTAAATCGTACTGCTGAATTTATTATTTATCAATAGTGACAATGTGAGAAAAAAAATTGTTAGGATTATGGCCAAAGATGTCCTAAAACTCCTGCGAAGTTGTGACTCGACGCTGTTTGTCGAGTGGCGTGAGCATTTTTGACACCCATCGCGCACACCTCTTTTTCATGTGCAAATGAGTATGAAAAATATTGCCGATACGTTCCTTGCTAATACCTATGGCTTCAGCTATCTGTCACAGCTTAATTCGCGGATCTCTAGAGCAAGATTCTTTAACTTTTTATTATTTTATTCGTTAATGGCGAAATCTGGCCGCCCTGACTTGCGGTCATCTTTTAGCGACTCCCTGCCATGATTGAATTATCGGATTCAATCTTTCATGGTGGCAAATGAAGGCCCAGACTCCCCATAAACTGTTGACATCTCTTCAAATATTACCGTCAGCGTTTTGTTCTTCTTTGTGAGGCATTTTATGACAACTGTGTACTTCAATTTCGTACATTGCGCGGATGACTGAGACATGATGATGTTTACGGATTAATTACTAAAAGCGTGATGATGCTAATAAATTGAAACTTTGTACATATACTAAGGAGGTTATTAGCAAATTAATAAAATTTAGTGCGAGTCAATAATAACACTTGAAGATACTTAGGCTCAAAACTTTTCAGCCGCCCCTCGTAAATCTAAAAGTTTTTCTTTCTCTAACCAACTCGGTTATTACCACACCTTCTCGTATTCTAGCTTAGTTTAAGGATATCTTTCCATTTTATCTTAACTCTATGCATTCAATTTACACTTAGACCTTTTTACTTGGGAAAAACGCTTTTTTGAACTATCAGAGTGTGCTCTTAGGTACAACTACGAGTATACAGGGTGTTAGGTAAATGGGTTTATAAGCCAACACTAGCCCATGTTAACATAATATGCATTTATAATGGTATGGTGAAGTCAGTTTGATTATCATCATTAAATTTTTTAAATTTTCACACAAAATAAAATTAAAAAATCAGATTTGTATGAAAATTAAAATGATGATAATAATATCAATTTTCTAACTTCACCATACCATTTATATGCATAATATGTTAACATGGGCTAGTGTCGGCTCATAAACCCATTTACCTAACACCCTGTATGAGTCTTTTCAGTTAATTTTACGAAAGTATTTTTAAAATATTGTCGAAATACTTGTGTACAGTCTCATTGTGGTAGAGACAATAGGAAATTAATTCTTCATGGCCAAACCAGGCTCGCCCTTGACCGGTTTTTATCCGACCGCGCCTGAAGGAGGGTTATGTTTATTTTAGTTTATTTTGATGACTTTTCTAAGAAGCTAGGTATTACCTATTTAATTTTTATAACAGTTCGTACATAGATTTACTTAAACTAGAACATAATTAAGGTCAAGAGATATAGAAAGTACTGGTGAACATGTCTCATTGTAGAGAGGCATCAACTTTATTGGCAACCTCATGAGTTAAAAGTAGATTTTTAATAAAAATAAAGAACGTTTTTGTTAAAAGTTTTATTAAACACAACAATAAATTAACAAATACCAATAACATAACACATAATGATGGTAACAAGTAATCATTTAACAAACCATCTCATTCAACGAAACAAAATAACAAAATCACGAACTGAATTAATTAGAAGAAGTCGCCCATCGAAAACAGATCCTTGCTATCTGACGTCATGAACGAAGAATACGGGCTTTGGAAGTCCTTCTTTGACGTCATCACTGACCCGTAAGGTGACGACAAGATCGGATCAGAGAAAGGTGAGGAAGGACTCAATGCTTCGTACGGGGACATGAGAGAGAATCCATTCCTACCACTTGACGTTGGCGGTGGAACAGACCCCATAAAAGAACTTGAAGTTGCAAATGAAGAAGACCCAACGTAGTTTGAGTTTGGCATGCTCATGGAATTGTAGTTAGACGATGGATAGTTGTAGGTAGGAGCTGGCGGGCTATAGTTTGAAGTAGACTCATAGGTGTACTGATGCTGAGGTTGTACAGGAGTAGCTGGTACCGGCTGAGGCGGTGGGTGAGAAGCGTAAGACACTGAAACCGGCTGTACAGGTTCTGGTTCGTAAGAATAGCCAGAAACTGGTGGTTCTGGAGTGGATTCTTGAGGAGAACTTAGCAGATTGCTGACGATCAGCAGCTGCATTGCCATAGCTAGGTTATTGAGTAATGCTGTATCTACTGAGGGAGAAATAACTGATGAAGTATCTGTAAGGGCAGCTAGCAAAGCGTTTGCAGCCGGTGGCTGAGCCTTTGGAGGTGGTGTGCTATGAGCAGAAGAGAGTAATGTAGCTAAAGCAGCTAGAGATTGAAGATTTGGAGCTGCACTGGTCTGTTTGCTAATAGTAACTGCTGGGAGAGGCTGTCTGGTGTTTATTGGAGGTGGGGAAGTCCCTAGACTGGAGAGGAGGTACTGTTTGAGGGCTGGATGAAGACTTATGTTGGCGGTGACGATCTGTAAAGAACAAGAACATTTGTCAGAATGAGAAATCCTTAGAGGAGGCCTTTTGGTCTTGGTCTCAGTGGACGCCATTTGGCTGAAACAAACGAACATTTTGCAAGAAGAGTAGAAGTAGTTCTATTATGTAGATTCCTTTCCATTTGTGTACCAACTAATTTGTCTATCCTCTTTACATTTGTATTGTAAACGCACATGTGAGGATGGATGTTTGTTACTAATTTTCGCAAAAGTTACTGGAAGAAATTTGATGAAACTTTAAAAATTTATAGTTCAGAATAGCAAGTGGCTATAATTTATTGAAGAAGCTAGAATAAAATAAAAGTAAGACATTTCTAAGTTTTTAGTATTTGGAATTTGAGAAGTCAAGTCAATAGATTAAAAGATAAAGAGAAGATGGTATACCTGACAACCCATAGCTGCTATAAACAATATTACGAAGTTCCCGCCCATGATCCTCAAAGGTAAAATAATTATTGAAATGATAACATACCTTCTGTTACTGATATATTTTTTCTTATCTAATTGCTAGCTTTTTTGTAATCAGTCCAAATTATTACATAGGCAATTCTAGCAACTTATCAATTGTTTTGTAAAAATATTACATAGGTTTATGTATTCATGGTAATTGATTTGCTTATTATTGATCCATCGAAATCAATCTATCACCGCAGCAATCATGTGTTTACCTTTTTTATTTTGTACATTTTTCATAGGGAATGATGGCTTTCCTTCTCAAACTTTCAATTTCTTATTCATCCCATTAATGTTATTTAAAAGCAAAAAAATTTCATATTTAGTCAATTGTATAGGTCATCTTCAAAGTAGGCCATGCTGACCTCTCATCATCATCATCAGGGTGGACCTACGACCTTATTGAGGTAGCAAGAAGGCGCTAGATGCAGGCCGCTACCAACCGAGCGATATGGAAAACGTTCAGCAGTGTGACGTCATGTGGCTGAAATTATGATGAAATAGGAAATTTTCCCTTACTCTCCCCACACTGGTTAGACCGATCTAATATCGCGTCGATGTAGAGTCACCTTTTTAACATCAGGCCCGGGTAGTATATCTATCTTAAATCTAAATATATAAAAGGAGAAACTGACTGACTGACATATCATTGCACAGCCTAAACGGCTAAACGTAGGCACTTGAAATTTGGAAGGGTCGTAGCTTAGGTACCGTAGAGGTGCACTAAGAAAGGAATTCCAGAAATTCCCACGGGAACGGGAATCAGCGGGAAAATCCTTTTGTATGAAAAATCTAAACCGCTTAAGTTAGACGCTTGAAATTTGGCATGCAGGTACCTTAGTAAACTTAAAGCTTAGTTACAACAGGATATTGCAAAATTCCCACGGGAACGGGAGTTATCGGGAAAAAACATTTGTATGAAAAAATCGAAACCGCGTAAGATAGATGAAGGGGGTAAAACGGGATCCACGCGTACGAAGTCGCGGGCGGCCGCTAGTGGCCTATAAGTATTTTAAGGTGAACCGAGCTAAACAAGTCGAAATAAGGGTAATTTTTTTTACAGATTTTTTTAATTCGTGTGCATATCCCCCAATTTCTGTCAATCTGGGTCTTCTGTCACGTTTGTTTGAAGGCCCTAAAAGGCCTGGAATGCTCGAATATGGCTCTCGAGTACTGTGTCGAGTTCAGTAAGCGATTGACTACCAACTGCTAGGAAAATCCTCTTGCTTGTAATCGACCAAATTGTCGAAGCTGAGTTTGTGATAGCAATACGATAGGTAGCGAGCTATATTTAACTTCAAGATAGCCTGTCTTTTAGTACAGACATCGGCACATAGCTAACCCCTAATTGCTGAACTGACGGCCGATGGGGCAGCAAGGTTCTGGAATGGAGGCCGCGTACCGGATAACGCAGCGTGGGACGACCACCTGCAAGGTGGACCGACGACATCGTAAAAGTAGCAAGGAAGCGCTGGACGCAGGTCGCTACCAATCGATCAACGTGGAAAGCATTGGGGGAGGCCTATGTTCAGCACTGGACGTCCTACTATGGCTGAAATGATGAATTACTGTTGCTTTAGTCTCAATGCATGTTGATTTTACCTTTATGTTTGCATGATTTTAACAAGTGTCGTTTTTGTAAGTTTTTCTTGTGAATGCTACTATGTAACCTTATTGGTGATCAATAGGTACATTGAGGCAAGGATCAATAAATTGAGGATACAATATGTACATTGAGGCAAGTGTAGGAATATTTAGCTTTATGAAGTGAGGTCTGCAACTTTCCCTATTTGTGATGTTAACAAGAATTCTAAGGCATCTCTTTTGCAAAATAAATAACTGACTTACTTCCGTACTGTTACCCCAAAGAATGATCCCGTAATTCAACCAAGCATTAGCGTCGGCATAATAGGCAATGGTAGCAGTTTTTAAGTCCGTGCATTTTTTCAACTCGTACAGTGCATAAGTAAATTTTGAGAGTTTAGCGGCAAGTGATTTCCAATTAATATTTGAATCTAATCAACTGGCCAATCTAGAAAGAAGGCCGATGTTCAAAAGTGGACGTCCTGTGGCTGAAAGGATGACGATGAAGAACGGCACATAATACTCAATATTGTGGCGGCTCAGGTCAAGTAGTAGTAACAAAAAAAGTGTGGGCTGTCATCTTAGATCGAGACTAATGCCCATTTTTACCATCAATCCCTAATTTTTAAGTGACCCCTATGGTAACACATAACAGGAGTTTTGTTTTCACAGGCGTCACTTAAAAAATAGGTTAATGGTGAAAATGAGCATAATTCTTCTTCTTCCTCGGTCCCTCACTGATGAGGGTCGCGAGTTCGCGACTACTATAAGTGTTCCTCCTTAGACTGCAGTCATAACACATATTTACAAACGATGCTTGCTTAAGTGAAGCAGTAAATTGAACGCACAGCGCGGCAGCGTTGAATAGAGCCGTGATTGGTTCGTGTGTCACCTTGTGCGTCCACGAGCACTGTGAGACTTCATAGTAATGTTTGTGAATACGTTATTCTATTTCTCAAGTTATCCAAATATTTATTTTACTTTTCTCTCAGCAAGCAATAAGGATTTTTCAAATTCTGTATTCAGTGTAACATCTTCCCCTAGAGGATGATATTATTTGCATTTTTATTGTTATTCCAAGAAAATGGCTACGTTGAGGAAAATACAGGGTGTTTGGCGCATCGTGTGCCAAAATGATTTGGCGGATAGAATGGGTCATTACCTATATTTTCAGCCCCCATAACACGTTCCATGTCAGGCGGCTACTTTTATATTAAGTTTTTTAGTAATTTCACCAAAATACCCAAATCGCATCATTTAATTTCGATTTAAAAAAAAACTACTAAGCGTAGCCTCAAAGTAAATATTTTGTTTTGACGTACATTGACATAGGGTTGCATCAAATCTAAATTTACTGGCAAATATCATCTAGTTTTTTTTTAATTCAGCTTTGAACTTTTCCGAAAAGTTAAAAATGGACTGAACATTTAAGTTTACATGGCTATAAATTTTTTTTTAAAAGAGATAGCGATCTTCGGATTTTATCAAAACTTCTCTAGTCTATCCCCATTCAAACGGTATACTAATCTTGTTTAAATAATAACAACAACTTCACAAATTCCCTAAATTAGTGCATTGACTCTATTCGGACTGATTTGCGAAATTTGTGTTTATAGCCCCTTTTTGTGTGAATAACACGTTAAATACCTACAGGTAAAAAATATTTATCTTATGCAATGTAAAAAACCTTTTCTCTATCGTTTTTCAATGTAGATTTCTTGAAATTAAAGACGAAAATAATTATTTTGATCGTTTATTAATTATTACAAATTTTGTTCAAAATGTCCGCCTCGGCAACGTATACACTAAGTAACGACATCTTCTTCTAATTTAGACTGGCCCTATACAGTGGCCTGCACGTTCCCCAGACCTAACTCCGTTAGATTTTTACGTCTGGGGACGAGGTAATGAACTGGTGTACGTAACGGAAGTTCAAACATTAGAAGAACTACAACAACGAATAGAAAACGCCTTTATAGTAATAAAAAGAGAAATGAGGCTGCATACGACAACAGTCGAAGATGTCGTGAGTGTATACGTTGCCGAGGCGGACATTTTGAACAAAATTTGTAATAATTAATAAACGATCAAAATAATTATTTTCGTCTTTAATTTCAAGAAATCCACATTGAAAAACGATAGAGAAAAGGTTTTTTACATTGCATAAGATAAATATTTTTTACCTGTAGGTATTTAACGTGTTATTCACACAAAAAGGGGCTATAAACACAAATTTCGCAAATCAGTCCGAATAGAGTCAATGCACTAATTTAGGGAATTTGTGAAGTTGTTGTTATTATTTAAACAAGATTAGTATACCGTTTGAATGGGGATAGACTAGAGAAGTTTTGATAAAATCCGAAGATCGCTATCTCTTTTAAAAAAAAATTTATAGCCATGTAAACTTAAATGTTCAGTCCATTTTTAACTTTTCGGAAAAGTTCAAAGCTGAATTAAAAAAAAAACTAGATGATATTTGCCAGTAAATTTAGATTTGATGCAACCCTATGTCAATGCACGTCAAAACAAAATATTTAATTTGAGGCTACGCTTAGTAGTTTTTTTTTAAATCGAAATTAAATGATGCGATTTGGGTATTTTGGTGAAATTACTAAAAAACTTAATATAAAAGTAGCCGCCTGACATGGAACGCGTTATGGGGGCTGAAAATATAGGAAATGACCCATTCTATCCGCCAAATCATTTTGGCACACGATGCGCCAAACACCCTGTATTTTATTATTTTTTTGCGCTACTCAGTGGAGGATTTGGGGGTATTTTATTTCCGATTTTTCCGGAAATAATAACGTGGGAAACCTTCATAAGTAGTAGTTGATTGATCTTTAAATAAATAGGGTTTTGTAGGTTTTTTTTTATCCACAACGAGGAAGCTCTTGGCCTGTATCTCACCTGATGGTAAGTGACGATCAGGCCGAAGGTGGAAGCGAGCTTCACCCGGAATCCTCAACCACGGCTGAACTGGCTATCTTGCCTCTAACTGCCGGAACACAACAATGCTGTTAACATTGTTGTTATGGCGACAGACTTAGGTAACATGGTTTTTATCTACAAGATTTATTAAAATACTTACTTGTCAGAGCTTTCACGTAAGTTGGGATGTAATGGCCAAATTATAATATCATTACGTTATGTTGCTGCTGGACTAGCTTTTGACCGTGTGGCTTTGCTTGGGTACAATTCGTATAAAAATATAGGGTGACTTCACTGAGTAGATAGTCTTTGACTAAAGCGTTTGAGTTTTAAGCTTTTTAACCCTTCAAGACAGCCGAATCATCGCTGTGCCCTGGAAAGGGCCTACGTCAGGGGTGGCCAACTTGATTAAACATGAGATCTACTGTTTACTCACGAAACCCTGGGTGATCTACCACTTACATACTTCTTGAAATATTAAATGAAACAGCATAGTTTAGTACACAATCGTTTAGTATTTTTTGCCTTGCCACGATCGACTGGACTAATGGTCGCGATCGACCGGTTGGTCACCCCTGGCCTATGTACTATGTACTGAATAAACTATTATAATATAATATATTATGTCAGCTCTCTATCATAAATAGTGCTGTACTAAGCTAAGTGGGATTCAATAAACATAAATTTGATTTGATATAGGTGTTTGTTGTATAATGGATGTAAGGAACACACTTAAAAATAACATAAAACAAAACAATTTGATTTTAACTTAAAATATATTCAATAAATAGCATAAATAAATAAATTACTAAACTACTACATCACAACCGGTCCCCTACAGCCGCAGTCGCATCCGAATCCGCCCAGCACTGCCAAAAGGTCTGTGTACTTTCTATTCACACTAACATTAGGGGGTACCCTAGAAATAGTGTTAGGGACACTAGACTGGATGATGTTAGAAACAGTGCTAGGGGACACGTAGGACTTTGAGTATCCGCTAGGGGTCAAGTTGACACTGGAGCAGACTGGACATTGGCATAGAGAGTTCTTGATGTCACTGATCAAAGGGCTGGCTATTTGACCGAAGGTAGGCTTCCGTAAGCAGCTTTGGGAGAATCTGTAAAGAAAAGTAACGTGTTTTACTCACTTTTGACCCAGATTTGGCACTTAACGTCAAAGAAAGATGAGCATATCCAGGGGGGCCGCGTACCGGAAAACGCAGCGTGTGACTTTCAGACACGAGGTGGACCGACGACATTATAAAAGTAGCAGGAAGGCGCTGGACGCTACCTACTGGTCAACATGGAAGTCATTGGAGGAGGCCTATGTTCAACTGTGGACGTCCTATAGCTGAAATGATGATGAAAACTGCTTACCTGTCAAAAATGACGTTTTGTATGGCAGTTGCAAGGTTTTTGCAAAGGACATCGTTGTCAGCTGTTGACATGGGGGGTATTTGGGGGGAAGGGCCGGCGTACCGCTCGATGACAGCCTCGGAGTAGACTTGAGGATAGTTGTAGGGCTGGATGTAGCGTTGGCATGATATGCTCTGGAAAAAGAAGGGTGGATAGATAAAACACATTTTGCTAATTGTGCACAACTATTGGTACACCACAGAAGACAAGATTATTTCATAAGAAACCACACTAATTAAAAATAAGAACAAAATATTATTCGAAGAGATACTTGGAGAATCCACGATCAATTTAATGATTTTATATATCTATAAAAGCGAAAGGTCACTGACTCACTCATCACGAAATCTCAGAAACTACAAGTGCTAGGAGTTTTAGAAATTTTGTATGGGGGTTCCTTTTAGAACGTAGGTGTTTACTAAGAACGGATTTTACGGAACTCCTCCCCTAGGGGGATAAAACGAGATCCACGCGCACAAAGTTGCGGACGGCCGCTAGTAAATAAATAAATAAGTTATGAAAAAAATAAGTTACTCACTTTTATAATGACAGCCACAACAAAAAGCTTGGAAATCATTTTAATACTTAATTTATTTACCAAATTAATAATTAATATCAATAACTTAAATTTTGTGATCTTCTGATGTCTTCCGATAACTTTACACCTGTTTTATATTAGATTGATAAAGAAAATGAACACTTACATAAGATATTTATCAATATTCGTGTCTTATCTATGGGAACAAAACCTTTGTATTACTGACATGGAGGTCTGAGAAATATAGCTGTCGCCATGTTTGATAGTATCTATTAGGCCTATGAAATCAGTTACTGATCAAGCTTAGTTTTAGATTTCTTTTGATTTGTAATACTTTTGGTTGCACTAGAAATTATTGGTAACTGAAACGATCTACAGGGTGTTAGGTAAATGGGTATATGAGCCGACACTAGTCCATGTTAACATGGTCATATAAATGGTATGATGAAGTCAGAAAATTGATATCTTCATTTTAACTATTTTAATTTTCATACAAATCGGATTTTGTAAAATTTATTTTGTATGAAAATTAAAAAAAAAATAATCATGATATCAAATTTCTGACTTCACCATACCATTTATATGCCTATGTTAACATGGGCTAGTGTCGGCTCATATACCCATTTACCTAACACCCTGTATAGTCCAGTCAATAAAGCATTATAGATGGAAAACTGTAGAACACAATTTCTGACCTCGGGACTTTATTTAGCCTAGTTAGGAGGTGAACATAGCAAAAGTCCCCGCCCTTAGCCCTTGAGCCGGCGGGGAGAGGGGGGTTTAAAGGTACCACTTTTCGGTTTTTCGCTTAATCCTCGGAAACTATGCGTCCTAGTGACATGAGTACTATGAACCAAATAAAGCTTATTCAATTTGCTACAGGCGAGACCGTCAAGTTTTTCTATATCTTGTATAGTTTTTGCGGCATCTGCTCTAGAAGGTCTGTAAAATTGGAAATTTTATTTTTGTCTTATGTGTTTCTATCAGGAGAAAATCGACTAAATCAACATTGAGCAAACACTATAGACATGCGGGAGCATGTTAAGCCTAGTTCCAGGGAGGGGACTGCACCGTGCGTATATTTAGACGAACCAATTNTTTAACACCTTTGCTGCGGCAGTAACTTTCTAATACTTTCCATTCCTTCGGTACAAGGTCAGTAAACCTGGTATTAAAACTTACATTGTGGCGGCACAAGGCTTAAAGACCTTGTAATATTTAAGATATATTAATTTTATTTTTGGCTTCATGTCAATAGATATTGTGTTTTTTCTCTTTGAATATTAACAATAATGCATTTATTGACATACACCTGAAGGCGTCCGTGAATAACTTGTTTAGTTTAAAAATTATAGCTATATTCAAAATACAAGGCTTATGCACCCTGTGCCGCACTGAAGTAGAGAAGTCTGGTGGGTATTCTAGGGATGTGAAATACAAATATCGATAGTTTTAATTAAGTTTTAATAAAAATTTAAAAAAGTAACAAACAAAGATGTTTTAATAATTTAGACTAAATATTTTACAAATAAGACATACGTGCATAAATACNCAGAAAGGTAGTTATGTAAACACAAAGTAACAAATAAAAATCCAGTAAATTTTAACATTTCACAGGTGATAGATAGATTTTAGTGTTCTAAATGTCGATTTTTGAACGTCAGTACCTAAATAACCGTTTGAGGGATATTTATGAAATTTGAAGCTGATGTTTATCTTGTATGTCTTAACACATGAGCCAAATTTGAAGTGTTAATGCACAGTAGTTTTTGAATGATGAGGAGTCAAAAGTGGCTCCAAGTGGTTCATCTAAATATACGCACGGTGCAATCCCCTCCCTGGAACCAGGATTAACATGCTCCCGCATGTCTAGAATGTTTGCTTAATGTTGATTTAGTCGATTTTCTCCTGATGGGAAGGTGTAAGACAACAATAAAATTTCCAATATTACAGACCTTCTAGAGCAGATGCCGCGAAAACTATACAAGATATAGAAACACTTGACTATCTCACCTGTAGCAAATTGAATAAGCTTTTTTTGGTTCATAGCAGTCATGTCACTAGGACGCATAGTTTCCGAGGATTAAGCGAAAAACCGAAAAGTGGTACCTTTAAACCCCCCTCACCCCGCCGGCTCAAGGGCTAAGGGCGGGGACTTTTGCTATGTTCAACTTCTAACTAGTCTAAATAAAGTCCCGAGGTCAGAAATTGTGTTCCACGGATTTCTCTCTACACCGTCGTTAAGGCATTCATTGACTGGACTACTAGAAATTATTGGTAACTGAAACGATCTGACACTGGCTAAGTTGTCTGGAAGAGGCCGTTTTGAAGCGATAAAACTCAGTAAAACTCATTTATTTCTGTAAGTAGGCTTTAAAAAAGCACTTTTACTAAGATAAGACTGCCTATGTTGTATCTTTTGTATATTTCTTTTCTTTTCTTGTCAAGTTTAGTTACCTACCTTATTACTTCATTCACTATTCTTATTCACTATTGAAAAAGGTGAACCAACGACCTCATAAAGGCAGCAGGAAGGCGCTGGATGCAGGCCGCTACAATTAGGGCAACATGGAAATTCATTGGGGAAGGCTTAAGTTCAGCAGTGGACGTCCATATGACTGAAATGATGATGATGATGTTTCTTCCGCCACCTGTTCTCAGCATCAACCACTCTACCTTTTTCGATCGCAGTTTCAACCAACTATAAGAGTTAAGAAAGTTATGTAGGTGTATACGTTGCCTGTCATAGTAGACAAACTAATATTAAATAACAATTTTCTAGAAATCAATACAGTTTATAGATAGCCTGTAAAACATACCTGCAATGCTTCTTGCAATTAATTATGACATATAAGCTATATAAACTAAGTCAGTAGGTCATTGATTGGTTTTTTGTCAACATGGCGGCAAAACTGGGGGTCTTGGTGCTGTCTATTTTAATTTGTAAGGTAATGGAAAGAATAGACGTTTTGCTTATTGATTTGTAATTTGCATATCTACTTGTATATTCATGGTTTTGAAATGATTTTTACGGTTTCATTATTAAGAGAAATTATTTTTCCCATGTCACATTTTATCTCCATCTGAACTTAAATATAGGACCAGTTCTTAAATCGGTCAGTGTCTGAGGCATGGGAGAGGCACGGGAGGGTGTTTTTGTAACGTCAAACGTCAGCGAAACTTCAGATCTTTTTCAGATTTGCTTTGTCCCGTCACAATATTATGTCAAATTCACCCCTCTCATGCCGCTTTTATACATCAGGCACTGACTTAGTTAAGCACTTTATCTATTATTTATTTTATTTGAAGCATCTCCAACCATCTAAACCTTGATGTCTCTTTTCAGATCCATTCCCAGTCGGTTGAAGTGAATACCAACGTGGATTATTTCCAATTTGCTTTACCACCCACTCAACTATCCTATCCACCTCAGTACATACCAGCACCACTACCTCCGCCACAAGTGGTAATACCCCCTCAACCTTGTCAACAACCTACAATAACGCTACCACCCCCTACTTCTTCTCCTCAGCCAATTTTCTTACCCAATCCTATCCAACCACCAACAGTTACCTTCCCAGCTCAACCTTCATTCCCAACGATCGAAATCCAAGAGGAATTCTCTATCAATGTACCCCCAACCCCTACATTAACTCTACCACCTCCTGCTCCTATTCCTCAACCAGTATTTTTCCCACCTCCAACCCCAATTACCTTCCCAGGTCAACCTCCATACATCAACCCATCTGCTCTACCTATCAATGTACCCCCAACGATCGAAATCCAAGAGCAAGTCTCTATCAATGTACCCCCTTCGCCACCTAAACTCACTTTACCCCCTGTCCCTGTGACTATCCCTCAACCGGTAGTTCTACCCCCTCCACAGGTAGTTCTACCCCTTTCACAGGTAGTTCTACCCCCTCCCCAGGTAGTTCTACCCCCTCCCCAGGTAGTAGTACCCCCTCCTCAAATCCCTCTGATTACAACTACAGTGGTAGACAATTCCCTAGCCAACAAATTGGCCAATCTCCTCCAACTCTTCATTGTCAGTAAAACAATTGATTCAAACATCAATCCGTATTGTACTTCTCCATGCTTTAGTGACATAGCACCTTTGTACGACGCTATAGGAGCTATAGGAACTAATTCATATCAAGTGACACCTCTATACGCTCCTTATGATGTTATTGGAACGTTTCCTTGTGATTTATCACCGTTGTACGCTCCGTATGGAGTAGCAGATATTTCTGTGCCTGTTTTTGGAACAGATATTTATGGAACAGTGACCGAGGTGTTCCCTGCAAATATCGGTGCTGTATCAGAAGTGATATCACCTTTTGGAGACTACTACACATATCCTGTGGGAACAGAAATATTAGTACCAGGTCCTCTAGGTTACTATCCACAGATTCTTGAACCACTACCAACGTTGGTAGATCAACTTGTGTATTATTAGTTTGTTTTTGTGAAATAAAATAAATATTTACATTAATGTGTGTTTCATTATTACTGAAATTCCTTGTACAAAAATACAAAGGAGCTTAGTAGTCCTTTTGTATTATTTAATAGTGACTGAGTTTCTTACGCTGCTTCTTCTCAGTACTGGCCCATTTATTTTCCCAAAGCTGTGGTTGGGTTAAAGTTATACTAGTACGTATAAAAGCGCTTTTTAAAAGCCTAAAAATACGGAATTAGTTTTTTAGGAAAAAACTTTCTTATCCATAAATTACGTGAGCTGGATTTCCTCATGCTTCATTTTAAAGTTACACGTAAATGAAATTACAAACACTCGATTATTTCACTTTATTACATTACACAATAAATATTACAATACTAACAAATATTACAAATAATTCAACACACCAGGAGAAGAAGAGAGAGCGCTTGCAAGACTGGAAATAAGACTAGGATTGTTTAACAGACTTGAGTAAATGTTTTGAGGGAGAATGCTAGGGGAAACAACGCTAGGGGAAATGACGCTAGGAGGAACGACGCTAGGGGAAACAACGCTATGAACTCCTGCGAAGGGATTCGCACATCCACAGGACAGCGTGGGTGATGTGAACAGCTCGTTAATGAGTGGTGCAGCCATCTGCAAAGCTAAATCTGATCCTCCGTTACTATTCTGCAGTAAGTTCGCCACGATCATGAGCTGTAATGTATTTGCTAGGTTCTTGCAAGCCGTAGGGGAGCAGTCAGTTATGATGGTAGTAGAGCTAGGGGAGGGGATGCCAGGAGAGTAGGGGACGAATGTGTTGTAGGGGGATTCTACTAGGGGATATGAGGATGAAACTTGAGGGCCGATGATGTTCCTTGGCTGCTCTATTTGTCTGGTCAGGTATTGTGACAGCACCTGGAAAAAAGAGAAATATAAATAAACTACAGCTTAACCTGACCTTCACTGGTTAGGTTTTAATAGCGGTCAAGCTGTAGATCCTGGCTACACAGGAGTTGCAGCAGTGGGAACGAGAGGTGGGAATAGTCCCGTTACAGCTTCAGATGACTGATTTGTAGAAGCAAAATGCTACCAATTTTTAGCCATAGTAGAAAATACTTAATTAAAACGTAAATAGAGCTTTTACAAATTTTAAAGCTCTTAAGATTTTACTTTAATAATTATTTATAAGACATTAATAAAATTCCAAGAACCAAATTTTTTAAATTCCTAGAAAAAAAAATATTTAATGATTTTTACCTTGCTATTTAATAGAGTAAAACATGAAATAATTATCAGAAACTTTGCCATAATTGAAAAAATAAGTTTATTTTATTAAAATAAAACTTTTAGATGAGCCTTTAATGAGAGATCGGAGTATTTAAATAAAATGAAAAGCTTGTACTGATATTTATCCAATGGTTATCATTTTTATCTGTAAGTTATGTCATTTATTTATTAGATAACAATGTTGACCAACAAAGCGTATCTAATATCTGTATGACATAATTATTTGAAACTTATCAATGACCATGGAGATATTTTTTAAGCATGGACCCTGTCAATCATCTTACAATCATCTGTGTCTCCCACCTTCTAATGAGGGCTATCGTTTTTATACTCAACAGTTGGCACCCCTGGCGATTGACAGGACCTTACTCTACAGTGGCGCCAACTAGTGAGCGCTAAAACGATAGCCCTCATTCGGTGATAGCTACTGAACATCAAGCAAAAATATAGGCCTGCATTTGCCTCTGGTAAAGTAACTAGTAGTCCGATGGGGCAGCAAGCTTCTGTGGAGGCCACGTGCCGGAAAACGCAGCGGGGGACGTCCACCCACATGGTTGACCGACGACTTCATAAAGGTAGCAGGAAGGCGCTGGATGCAGGCCACTACCAACCGTGCGATGTGGAAATCATTGGGGGAGGCCTATGTTCAGCAGTGGACGTCCTGTGACTGAAATGATGATGATGATGATGAAAGTAGAAAAGCTCGCGCTCCTGCAGTGAAAACTAAATGACTAGTGATACAACTTTTTTAAGAATTTCAAATTGATCGGGTGAACTGGTCTGTTTAATAGAGCTGAAATGAAATACAGCTGAAATTAATTGCTGGATATGTCCAGCTATGAGCTCAGTGTTTATTAGCTGAAATGAAATACCTACAACTAAAATTAATTGCTGGACATAAAACATGGAGCTTTAAGCTACGAAAGTATTGCTAAAGGAGTAGAGATTAAGAGACAAAAGTGAACACTGAATAGTTGCATTATTTATTTGCCATTGTAGTAGCATACATATTACATACCTAAATGGTAATTTTGAGTGTTATATTGTACCTTCTGTAAGTATGTAGTACTTACCTACTTCAAACCCAAATTATTTTATTGCACGTCACGCGTAAGGATTGACAGAAAACATTATCATTTGAGGTACATGTGGCGCCCCGTAAAGGCGTTGCAAAAACTTACTTAAGTGCTTCATTAATAAAACCATGGAAAATTCTGTAACTTCGTCGAGGAAACTGTCTGATTACGGCATTACATTCGTGCCACGTACATCTTCGTTACACAAACTGAATTAGGTCAACGTTGCCGTAATGCACACGCGTTCAGTAGGTCTATTAACTACTGGGCGGACCGACGATCACGGGAAGTACCTGGACGCGGGCGCAGGACCGGTTGTTGTGAAAATCCTTGAGGGAGGCCTTTGTCGGACGGACGTCTTTGGGCTGAAATGAACGAACGATCAAAATCTTTTTGAATGTTGAGTACCTACCTACTTACTTACCGTCTGCTCGTTTGCCTCCTGTCACATAAAAAAAAAATACCTACTTACTTAGTTACCTACTTCGTGAATTTGACGTTATCGCTGTAGAAAATGTACCTAGAATTTTTTTAATAGCCCTTAACACATTATTTATTTTTTATTTATTTAAGACGTACCTACAAAACAGATTACAGCCAAAATATGGATTTCAGATACAAGTTGGAACCATTAACCTCATGAAAGTCTTCTAAATCTGAAAAACTCACAATGAAAAAAAATTGTTTTAAATTGATACGGTGCTACTGTGTCCCATTTTAGTGTGGCATAATTTTACTAATAAACCATTTCTCTGATGAAATTACGTTCTATTGATATGAAAAATGTATTTATAGAGGCTAATTATATTCATTTAGATGTTTTTTCCTTAGTTTTAACATTTACAAAATGTGTAAAACCATTTGTTTTTTCGTCGCAGTAGTGTTTGTTTGCGTAAGTTTTTACTTTAAAAAGTTGGTATTGAAATAAGACTTACTTAACTAAGTTATCAAAAAATAGTTACGTCATGCATTGATAAAGAAATCATGATGAAAATAATACTATAGCATTTACTTAGACAGTGTGAAAATTGTTATCAGATAGATTTCATAATCGCAACGGTTAATGTAGGTGCCTAGGTTTAACAATTGAAATAATCGATAAGTCACAATGCTTTGTAACATTGATTTTATGATTTTAAAAACTCTAGGGAATGTACCTTGCATGTGACCCTACGCATAATGTGTTTTTTTTTCAGGCGTCGTCGACGCGTAAGTAGGTACCTACCTATTTCATGAAAAAGTAACAGGCTATCTGTACCTAACAGCACCCAAAATTTTTGCTAGCACATAAAAACTATTTTCCGCGAATGTAATAACCGTAGATGCAAGTCGCATTTAAGTAAAAGACAATGCAACACACACGTGTTGCTCATCAATCATTAAATAATTGATACATAATCTTGCTCCGGCAGTGACCGGTTGCATTTTTTTAATACTGCATAAGACATTCATATTTTATTTTCTTTCTTTCCCAGGCTGCATCATCAAGGAGGCTTCCAGCAGCGCCCATACCTCCACCATGTCCCCAGAAAAGCGTCCTTGCTACCATCAACGACCTTTTAGCACTATCCAACGCTCTAGAAGACAAACCGAGCGGTTGTGGCTGTACGAAGAAGATTCCTTCGTCTTGCGGCTGTCAAAAATCCTGCAACTGTCAAAATAATCCATCATACATCGACGTCATTTTACCGCCTGCTGCAGCGGAACTGCCCTGTGGTTTAGGATATTTGCCCTCATCAGCTCCATTAGTAGCGTATGCGTATGGATGCACAAATGCATGCGATGCCTGCGTACCAGTGACGTCACCCTACAGTTGTACATGCATTGCCACTCCAATACCTGCCGAAATTAGGGCATTAGCTAAGCCTGTTATATTGTAATTTATTGTTATACTTATCTGTTGTTGATTAAAATAAATAAATTATAACTTCATTGATATTATGATTTAAATGCAGACTGTATATTAAGTACTTCCTTTGTCTTTATTACATTCAGAAAAAACAAAACGTCAGCTGTCAAATCCTTGCTCCCTCAGAGCCGGAGTTTTTCCGAAAAACTTAAATAATTTCTACAAATTATAACATAAAACCTCCAAGATGGTTGAAGCACAAAAATATAGGATTGAGCAAGAAATGACCAATATGGTCAATGAGCTGGACAAAAGTTATTTGCGAAAAATGCAGGTAAGTTTTGAGGTTATGATCTCATGGCTTATGCAATAATTTAAATTAACTTTGATAAGCAATTAGAAATAGGGCACAATGCTCGATAAATACCTTATTATACTATAGAGATGTATCTAAAATTTTATAGAATATTTTTCAAATGAATTTGTAATTTTATCCACAACTTTCATGAAAAACTAAAATCTTTTAAAACTCATAAATAAACACTCCCAGAAGTACCTATCTAAACTACACAATAAAACTACTACAATGACTAAAAATCTGTGTATTTTGTATAAAAAATATCACACAAATAAGATTCCAAGATGTCTAAAATATAAACACTTAGGCCCAGATCAGACGGTGAAACGCAACTGCAACGAAACTGCAACTGCTAGTTACTTTTGTGCATCTAAGTTTCTGCCATAGCGTCCGTTGAGAGACTACACATGAAGCGACCAGTTTGAAACTTTCAGTTTCAGTTTCAAAATCAAAAATATTTATTCAGTTTAGACCACAAGTGGCACTTATGAACGTCAATAGAAAATAATAAAAAAAGAAAAAGGTAGCCCTTATGGGGCACTTTACATGTCTCCTTATCTTTTGGGCCCTACCAGCGCTTCGAGACAAACATATGGCAAGTGCTGAGAAGAAACGCCGGAACAAACTCAGTCACCACTTATTGCCAGGAATTATCTAACGGTAAGAATAGTCAAATTTAAGTACATCAAATATGTGCAGACTGAACTGACCACGCATCCTTGTCATCAATATAGTCTCGAACCTTGTAGTACCCTTTGGACATAAGGGTATTTTTTATATGTATCTTAAATTTGTTTATTGGCAATTCGACAAGGTTGTGTGGTATTTTGTTAAATATGGTAATACATTTCCCCAAGAATGAATTACCTATCTTATGCGTTTCATTCATAAGAATCACCAGAAAGTTGCAATTTTGTTGCAGTTACGTTTCACCGTCTGTTCTGGGCCTTACAATGACCGTTAAGGTTATAACATAATAAAATAATAAATCTTTGGACAATTTCACACAGCGCTAGCTAGCCCCAAAGTAAGCAACTTAATGCTTGTGTTATGGGTGCTAGCTTAACGGATATACTACTTATATACTTTTTTTTTTTAAATACATAAAAATTATACATAGTCACACCCAGACCCGTCACAGAAATTAAAATTCATCATTTCAACTTCTGCCCGGCCGGGAATCGAACCCGGGACCTCTAGGCATAGTAGTCTGTTGTGAACCACTACACCAAACGGCCGACAAAATAACATGACCTCATTATCGTCATCATCAGGTCATCTAGTCTCCACTGCAGGAGCTCGACCCTCTCTAATAGGCTAGTTTCCTAAAAAAATTTTTTTAGTCCGTAATGTTTAATATCAAAAAATATTGGACACATATATTTTTATTTGTCAATCTAACAAATAATTACATAGTTATGGTGCGTTGAAGTTGCGCACGACGTCACAACGTGCGGCATTTTTAAGCAAGCGTTGACGTCACGACCTCTTCTTATGAACTTNAGTATTTTTTGATAAGTTAACTGACGGACTAATTAAAACTCTTGCTTTTTGACCCAGGCAACATCCCCATTGACCAGAGGCAAATAGAGGATTTGGCCTGCACTCCCCACGCTGGCCAGACGGGTTGGGGAGACGTATCATAACATCCCAACTAATAATATTATAAATGCGAAAGTAACTCTGTCTGTCTGTCTGTCTGTCTGTCTGTCTGTCTGTCTGTTACGCTTTCCCGCTTAAACCTCGCAACCGATTTTGATGAAATTTGGCATAGAGATAGTTTGAGTCCCGGGAAAGAACATAGGATAGTTTTTATCCCGGTTTTTGAAACAGGGACGCGCGCGATAAAGTTTTTCTGTGACAGACAAAATTCCACGCGGGCGAAGCCGCGGGCGGAAAGCTAGTAACCTATAAGATTTTAAACTTTCGCGTTCCATTTCAACTAAAATAGTAAGACACGGGTCTTAGAAGTAGTAAGTAAAATAGTAAGTCTGCTTGTGACCACGGCTGCAGCATCACAGCCAAAACTGTCAAGCCGTGTGTATGTCACCGTAAAATTGTGAATTCCGTCAGATTACAATCTAACGTAGTTAAATTACAATCTAACCTAACCTAACCCACTGTTAGTTTACAATCTAACGCGTTATATTATAAACTGACAGAGTTCACAATTTCACGTTGACATGTACATATTCTAACTCAGTAATAAACGTCGCGTTACGACCCGTGTCTTACTATAACATGACCTATTGATGTTCATTTTCCAGGGAGACATGCACCGTTGTGCAGCGAAGTGCTGTGACGACACGCAGACATCGTTGGAAAGAGTGCACGGCTGCATCGAGAATTGTACCACACCGTTGAATCAGGCCAATAACTATGTTCAGGTAAGACGTTACATTGATAACATTTTATTGAAGTTCTGTTTGTTGAATGTAGTCAGATACTTTTGTTAATTCTTACATCAATATTAATCCAAGATATTGAGTCATGTAAAATTAAGAGCCTATTTGCTTAAAATAAATGACTAATGATATTAAAAAAAACTTATGATTTGAGAACAATGACTGGAAGTTAATGATACTTTAGGTTTATTAATTTAATTTAAGTGAACTTAATGCCTAATGGATTTCACTGGCGGTTAACGAAATTTAAAAAAATATATTGTCACTTAATTTTCAGGGTGAAATAAATCATCTTCAAAACAGACTTCAGAGGTGTGTAATGGACTGTAACGATGCGGCCAGAGATCGTTTGGGGCCTGATCCTAGTCAGGAAACGGTAAGTTACAATGAATAGGTTAGACGTCAATAGTTTTTTTTTGTCCATCAAGACATATTTTTTTTCCTTTTATATTCTGCTACTGCAATCTGTTTCCGTGAAATAATAATCCAATAATCTGTCTGATTCCAATCCAGTTTTTGAGGCGATCAGTAAGAGACTAATAATAAACGACAGATAATAAAAAATATTGAGTTGAAATGTTGCATAATAAATAAATATGTATAAGGAGTGGGTCTTTAGAATCTAGTTGATGCTGACAATTACTTTCTGTTCTCAGCTAGCTTTTTCATACAACTCCATCTTGCATTCATATCAGTCTGTCACAGAAAGATTCGTAATTGAAGATTAAAACTATCCTTACTTTTTCTTAAATCTCAAATTATCTCTATTTCAAATTTTATCCAGTAAGCCCAATATTTTTCTTTTAGGTGGACAAAGCAACGATAGACTTCGAAAAGTGCGCAGTGAGGTGTGTCGACAAACACATGGCAATCATTCCTAGCATGATGAAGACGATGAAGAAAGTCCTGGCCAGCGGCAAACCTCCACCACCGAAGAACGAATGATTGTACTTGTATAAGGTAGATTACTGACCTCATTACCTTGTTGTAAGGTACAAAACTATTTTCAACTTGCTATGGATATAATTTTAGTCGAATAATGAACAGTTTTTGTATTCAAACCAATGCATTTATTGATGCATTTCCACTAAGTAATGAAACTTCACAATCAATATTTTTTTATAAAAAACAGATTATTGTCGTAAAATCTGTATTAATTTCTAGCTATAAACCTTATTATGAACCGATTAGTTCTAAACTTTATTTAAAGTAAAAGGCCTAAATATTGAAATTTGAATTTGTCTTAAAAATTATAGTATGAAGAGAGATTTGTCTCATATTTGGGGAATGTACTATGTATGAGTAGTCTTATGCCCGTATTCACAAACATTACTATGAGGTCTCACAGTGCGCGTAGACGCACAGGCTGACACACGAACCAATCACAGAGCTCTATTCAACGCTGTGCGTTCGATTTGCTGTGTCACTTAAGCAAGCATCATTTGTAAATACGAGTGCTAATTTACCTATTTTAAAAGGATGCCATCGATTTGAGTTTCACCCTGTATTTATGTAAACTTAATAACAGTGTCATATCTTATATTCATAAAAACAAACCTATTTTCTGTATCATACAAAAATTTTAATATTTTGTAGTTATGAAAAGTTTAGTTATTGAATGTTATGAATTTTAGTATCACAAAAACATTGTTGATTTTTTTATTCGAGTCAGTGTCACTTTGTTTAATTAACTTTACCTTAATCATGATAGGTCATTGAAGGTCATAGCACACTTATCAACCCGGAAAGGGATCAACACCGTATCGCCTTAACGAGGCGTTTACGTTACGGTGCGGATAAGTGTGCGTTGAAGCAGAGTAAATACAAATGAGTAGGTCATCTTCATAGAAACGCCCGAGCGCGGGTTGTATGTGAGCGCGCCAATACGTATGCGGCGCGCACGCACACACTGACAAAATTTAGCGTGGATTAGCGGTGAGTTGCTCACATACCGCACCCACATAACCGCCTCTGTGGTCTAGTGGTAAGACCACCTGCTTCAGACGCAGAGGTCCCGGGTTCGATTCCCAGTGGGGGCAGATTTTTCTGTTCGGTTTGGTTGGTGGTAGGGCTTGTTCTAAGTCCGCCTGGCTAGCTACCACCATCTTACCTAAGTCTGACGCCATAACAACAATGTTAACAGCATTATTGTGTTCCGGCAGTTAGAGGTAAGATAGCCAGTTCCTCCGTGGTTGAGGATTCCGGGTGAAGCTCGCTTCCACCTTCGGCCTGATCGTCACTTACCATCAGGTGAGATACAGGCCAAGAGCTTCCTCGTTGTGGATAAAAAAAAAATACAAACCGCGCTCGGTGCGTTTCTATGAAGATGACCTACTCATTTGTATTTACTCTGGTTGAAGTACCTAAGGAGTTTCATGCAAAGAATACTGACCGCCTCGATTTTCGTATACGATCCGTTCACGGGTTGATGAGTGTGCTTCGTTCTTTAGTCTTCGCTGCAGGAGCACGGGCCCTCTAATTGACCAGAGGCAAATGGAGGATTTGTCCTACACTCCCCACGCTGGCCAGACGGGTTGGGGAGGCCTGATGCTCGCATATTTGTCCCTTAGAGTAGGCGCACACCGTTGATTTTTCGTCGGCCGATAGTTTAGTCGGGCAGTTGATCAGTATGGCCATGTATGGGAGTGCGCACACTACGCCGATTCGATTTGGCCGATTCTTCATACAAATTAAAATCGGGCACAACTATCGGCCAACTAAAAATCAACGGTGTGCGCCTACTCTTAGTCGCCTCTTACGACATCCATGGGAAGAGTAGTGGTGGGTTTTCTACTCTTGCGTAGCTGAAAAATATTTTTTCTCCTTTTTACACTGGTTAAAATACTGACTCGATTATTTTTTTTATAGTTTAATGAGTAAAAAGTATAGTTTTTATGTGTGGTTATTTTGGATGATTGTTTTATAGTTGTATTATAGTGTAAATAAATGGTAGAAACATTTATATGATGTCTTTTTATGTTAAATTCCTCTTTATAATATTAGTAGGTATAGATTTTCCTAGTTTTCAAGCAAAGATGGAAGCTTTTTAAATGGTAGGTCAGTGGTAGGTAAGTGGAGGTTTAACCCTTATTCAAATAAAGGTAGATATATTACCACTTCGTTTACTTTTAAAAAAGGATCCTAATATTCGATATGGTAATACTTAAAAATATCGTGGTCACTTATTTATATTTTTAAATATATTTTTTTACTTATCTATGCCATTTTACAACTTTTCAACGTCATTTGTCACTGTCAGGTAATGTCAAAGTCAACCAAACGGTTTTGTTGTGAAAAATTTCAAGTTTTTAGCGCGCAAATTTGGTATTTTTGAAACTTTGTGCAACGAAAATTCTGATAAGTGTTTTTTCGATTCAAATTCCTAAACTATAACATTTATTGTATAATCTCACTTTTAGGCAGCGTCTGCAATTGATTTATTCATATAATTTAGACATTTTAAAGAAGTGGTAAATAGTTTACCACTGTCCGATCCCGTCATGACAAAAGTTTGATGATATATAAAAAAACTGTTGTTTTTTGTATGTGCATAAATAAAACTAAATAAATATTTGGAGAAATTTTAAGTTTTTTTTATATTAACGTTTTGACGTTACCTAATTAGTGAATTGTTAGTTTCAGACTCAAGGTAAGAATAATAATTGTAAGCATAATAACATTAATAACTAATATTAACAATGTGTATTTTTTATAAAAACAATAAATTTTTTTCATTCCCAAAATATTTAGTAAAATGTAGGTAGAACCAAGAGGAAGTCACTAGTCAAGAACCAAAAACAAACCAAGACGGACAATGGTAACTATTTTACCACCAACATTCAATAATTGGTAGTCATGAATGGATAATGGTAAATTATTTACCACCCAAAAAACTACCCCTTCCCCTATTTTTTTATTAATTTTGATCAAAAATATGAAATAAGTGACCCACAATTACCCAAAATCCACTTCAACTTTGTAAAAAAAATGCATACCAGCTCGCATTTGAATAAGGGTTAATAGAAGGTCAGTCAGTGCCTGAGGTATGCTGCGGCACGGGGAGTGCTTTTGTAAAGTCAAAAATCAGCGAGACTTTGTAATTTTTTTGAAGTAAAGTAAAAATAATTTTGAAGTAATGCAAAAGTAACTAAAAATATCCAAATTCGAAATCGCTCCGCTTCGTCTCTAACGTCGCTGTTTAGGGACATAACGAAGCTATTTCGATATTGAATCTGTCACGAATAGTCCAGTCATTTAAGCTTAAATTAGGTAAGAATCTCGGAATTAGAGATACCCAGCTGTAAGTCTGTAAATACTTGTATATTGACACCCTAAAAGTTGTCTCAAAACCTACATATGGTAGGGTGTAAGCAACTATTAAATTTTAAGGTCAAAGGTCACAAAAATCGGTTTTTTGCGCTTTTTTTGGAAATATCTCATTTCCTATGGGTTTTTTGCTATTTGTATTTATTATCAATATTGTAGAATACTAAATTCTCTACAAATTTTGTTTATGTTTCTATAAGACATTTTGAAGTAGTATGACCATATTGAGGATATATCTGGGACTTTCTGTGGGACCTTACTTATCTAATTTTGCATAATGTTTTCTACGGCCGTTTACTGTAATCAATCCATATCCAAATCCGTCTGTCAACTGCCAAATTAAAATCTGTTTTCTATCAAATATCCACAGTTTTCGATGCCTTTACACTTTCTTAATGTTGTAATTCATCTTAAAACAAAAACATCGAAAACCTTTTTTCATAATCATATTAAGTGCACTTTATCAAGACACACTGTTTAAACGTAAATCAGTCTTTGTCGTCCTGAGAAAAATAAATAAAAGGTTACCCTACTTAGAAAGAGAGAGCCTGCCCACAGAGAGCGAGATAGTGATACATAGGTTGTGCTTCAAGTAGGTATTCTAAGCCTGGCCTCCATTTTATCTTTAGCTTCATGGATACGACTTAATGTCAAAAGTGACAGATGTCATCAAAATGACATTCGTCCACCATGATGGTTTTTGTGGTTGAGTATTGCTATTTTCTTAACAATCTTTTGTTTTAAGCGAATAAACTAAGCTATTTAAAAGAAATTGAATAATAAGAAACTGTTGTACATTTAAAAGCCCTTCTTTTTGGTAGGTGTACAGGTTGTGGGCCTAGGCTCCATACATTTTGGGACAACTCCTTTAATAGTTGCTTACACCCTACCATAAGTAGGTTTTGAGACAACTTTTAGGGTGTCAATATACACGTATTTACAGACTTACAGCTGGGTATCTCGAATTCCGAGGTGAACTTACTATAATGACTGGACTAGAATGTAACGTTGGAGGCATTCAAAAAGTGACATAGCGAAGCGATTTCGATTTTGAATCCAATGTAGATTCCTCCAATGCTAGGTACATTTGATTCGATTCGTTTACAAAGAGTGACAGCAAAGCGATTTCGATATCGAATCTGGCACGAATGTAGCTTAGGAGGCACATAGACAGAAGTGCGCTAAGACACTTTCGTCGAGCGATTTCGATACCTATTCAATCTGTCACGAATGTAGCGTTAGAGTCACATACAAAAAGTGACAGCGAAGCGATTTCGATGTTGATGATTGAACACCGAAATCGCTCGTAACAGATGTCACGGATGTAGCTTTGGAGGCACATAGACAAAAGAGACATGTTGAAGCGATTTCTATTATATTGAGTCTGTCACGAACGTAGCTTTGGAGGCAGATACAAAAAAGTGACAGCGAAGCGATTTCGATATTCAATCTGTCACAAATATAGGGTTGTCTTTTAAAATAAAACAAAATCTATTGCAAACTAAGTAGTTAGGTAAGTATATTTAATTAGTAATTCACAAAAATGGCGGCTGCACGCACACCTGCCTCAGATATTTAGTACATCCAAGCACCGGCGGCAGCGGCGGCAGGAGCGGCGTGGTCAACGCAGCCGGCACCGACACACCGCAACCGCACGCGGTGACCGCGGGCGAGCGTAGCTAGTGCAGCTGCTGTTCTTAGTCGTTTAAAGTTACTAGCATTGTGACAAAGCGACATAGCGAAGCGATTTCGATATTGAATCGAATGCAGAATTGGAGGTAGGTACCTAATTAAAAAAAGTGACATCGAAGCGATTTCGATGTTGAGTCTGTCACGAATGTAGCGCTGGAAGCAGATACAAAAAGTGTCTTGGCGAAGCGATTTCGATGTTGAAATGTAAACATCGAAATCGCTCGTGACAGATGGCACGCTCACGAATGTAGCGTTAGAGAGACAGACAAAAATCACAACAAAGCGATTTCGATATTCAATCTGTCACGAATGTAGCGTTGGAGGCACACACAGCGAAGCGATTT